AAACCAGGAATTTCAAAGTGGCTGTCCCAGTGCTCCAAGACTACTCCTGGAACAAGAACTGTACCCAGGAGCCAACGTCCCTAGTATCTGCCAAAGCCGGAATGCAAAAAGCTCCCTTCAAATTGGCAAGATCCCCCATATAATTTAATTTTAGAGGAAGCTTCTTAAACATTTAAAAGTTTTTTTTTAATTTACTAATCATTGTGTACTTTGTATGCATCGATAGTTTTGTTTTATATAGAGTGAGAGATTCTCTAAATGTTCAAATGAATTCCTGGCAAGTGGAATGAGAAATTAAAATGAATAAATAAATATTTGGCAAGCCACTTCGGAAAGGTCGCCAACCTTGAATGGAGCTTTGATCCCTCCGAGGGTGTTCTTAAGCTTGTAAAGAGAATGAGGCATGGGGAGAACCCTTCCTTTTTTTTTTTTTTTTTCAGTCCGATTTGGTTTACTCAGAGAATGGGAACTGTGACCTCTATCCTGGGCCTCTCCTGTGTCAGTGTACCCAGAACTGTGCATTTCCCTGACAGAGATCTCACACAACTTTTGGGAGGGATTTACTAGCCTGCAAGTTCGCAAAAGCACTTGCTTCCTTGGGAAACTTCAGCTTCCTCATGTCTAGTTGTCCAGACGATGGGAGAAGCCTGCTTTCTCTCTCTGTGTTGTCTTAAGTATATTCAAGGCTTAATTTGGGGGTGTAGAAATAAAACATAATCTTCCACATTGAGAAGTATTGCATTTATAAATTCAAAATTGATTTAAATGAGGACATAGCAATAGCCATATGCAAAAAGAGAGAAAGCAAGCATTAATGTTGGCTTTCAAAAATTTGTAGAAGATATATTTAAGTTAATCACTTGGTTTATTTCAACGACCCTCTCCTGTCACCCAAATAAATTTAGGGAAGCACCAACATATCTAGACTTTGGCAGTTCTCAGCTTTTCAGAATAACTTAAAAAATCTAAAACCGTAAACATAAAATAGCAGTTTGGAAATAAACACTTCTCTTTTTTTCTCTCTCTCTCTTAAAGATTTAGCCTTATTTCTAATTTTACTCTCCCAGGTGCTGTATCCCCAGAAGCTAAACAGAAGTGAGTAATCTGTTGGGTAGCAGTCAAGTAAAGGGGTGAAGTGCCTGAGACTTAGAGCTAGCCCTCTGGGGCATGCAATGCCTGTGGTTGGCATTTTGTGTCCTCTGCGGTAGAGATATGGCAATAATTCACACCTTGCTCTAGTGTGTGAATTAAATTCACAGCTCACGCTGGGGGGTGGTCAGGCGCTGAAAATGTTTGCAAATTTCATCTTTTCCTCTTCCTTTTCTTTCTTTCTTCCCTACTTTGCTTTCTTTCTCCTTCTTTCCCTGGTCTTCCCCAGGGACACCAGTGGGGGAGATCAGGTTCCTCAGCCAGTCACCGCAGACTAGCAATTTTCAAACTGTTTTCTTTATCAGCTGTACACATATATTATTATAATTAGAATCAATTTCTTCTTCATATTTGTACACGCCTTCCTTCCCTCACTGCTGATTTATCCCCAAATTTCTGGATAACCTTCTATTAGTTCTGCACTTCAGGTTCATGACTAAACTCCAATCTACATTGAGTCTCAGGGTGGTGGAAATGCGTTAGCATCTTCTATTGCTCACTTCATTTTTGTCCCATTCTCCATCACCGGAGTTGTTGATGTAGTGAAGACAGGGCTCCCCGAGTCTCCTCTTGAGTTCTGAATCCCTGCCCACCCTTTGTCTCTCTCCAAGGCTCTTCCAGCCATTCCTTACCCCTTTGTAACCCTTAGCTCCTCACTAAAATCCCTCTTCTGAGGGCTTTGTCTGTTAGTCTCAGTCAGGCCCACCTCAATGCAGGGTGAGTCCAGGAAACGTTGGGAGGGTAAGGGGCTGCCGATGCAGAGGACAGAGACATTCCGTTGATGCAGAGTGAGTCTTCTAAAAGCCAAACATACTTTTTTAACAGTTCACACTGCTAAAATGTATGCTTGCAATTTTCTGTACCCATTTATACTAACATGTTTCTATCACTTTCTTGTCTTTCACGAACACACAAAAAAGCCCTGTTTTACTTTTTTACATTTGCAAGATGTCAACCACCAGGAAAGGGACATTGCTCCAGTTAAAATGGTATAAAAGTTTGTTCAGTCGACATAAACTCTCAGGGAGTTCCTAACATACTCCCTCCTCAACTCCAGCTTGAGGCTGACGGCTATAGAAACATCCACGTAGAACTCTGGGCACGGGAAAACTTGATTTGCCAGCATCCCTCTGACCATTCTGTACCTGTCTGGAAAGTGTTTTCAATGATTTGGGTTTTTGTTTGTATTTGAAGATGAATCTGACAACACTGAGCTCGCAATTCCTCAAGGCAACAATCAGCTAGGGCTCAACAGTGGCTGGGTCTTTAGAGCATGTCATGCCAGTTCTCTATGGTTCCCCCCGCGCCCTATTGTATGACATCAGACCTTTATTACTTGATTACAATTCCTACTAAGCCCTCTGTATGCATTTGGGTTTGCAAGACATAGGATAATGGGCTATGTTAACCCTCTACTCAAATTTTGGGTCTCATTAGCCTTCTTTCTTTCAGAACTGGAGCCATTACCTCTACACTCTTGGACATCTATTTCTAGGAATAGCATATTAAATTCTGATATTGAATTCATCTTGTTGTTTCTCATATCACTTCCTGGGGTGGAAAGACCAGGGACACACAAGGCCCCAGATGGAAGTGTAGTGATGAGCCTCACTTCAGCTGTGTAGGAAATGCCAGATTTCCTTTCTGCTGAGGTGTCCCAGCCTGTTTGATTCTTGCCCTGTATTCCCAGGACTCTGCTGCTTTAGCAGTATGCCTGGGGCAGTGCCCAGGGCCTGGCATACTAAATGTCACTGTACCATCTGCTCTGAGGCCTGCCATTCCCCCGGTCTCTACCATTGAAGAGATTGCATGTCTCTACTGCTATGGAGCCCTGCTGTCCTTCTTCCCCGTCCCAGTCTCTGAGAAACTGTTCCCCTTCTCCTTTCACTCTTACCCTTATCCTTGCACTTTCCTGAGTGCTAAGCTTCATCTGCATGTCTCAGCGGCTTCTCTTTTCTTTCCCATTAAAATTTCTGAAGTGCAAAAACAAATACATAATCAATACTAATGACCTAGCTAGCTTATTTGAAACAAAAGAGGAGAAAAGACCAGAACACACACAAATCAATACACTGATAAAAGGGCCAATTGTTTTGGGACTTGTCATCCCAAGATTATTCTTGGTTCTAATCCACGTAGTGGGATGGCGGTGCTATGGTGTAGAGGATGAGAGAGGATTTGAACATTGGCTATTGCTCTGTCGCAGAGATTTTAGGGAACATTCATGAATTTATGAAAATTTTCTCCATTAAACTGGTATTATTCTGGAGGTGAGTTTCATGGCTCAAAAAAATATTCTGCATGACAAATGGCATGTAATATTTCAGAATTAGAACAAGTTTCAGAACAGAGCAAGGGTATCTAAAGGGTCCACTTTAAGAAAGTATAGCTTTTGGATATGGAGGGGGAAATTATCCCAACACCAACTGGCCAGTTTTTTGGGGGGACAATATCTGGAGACTTTCCCTTTCTGAGGTAAATTGTAAACTGTGAACCTCATCACTGGTAACATTTCCTACTGGTCCTCCCATCTTCCCCTGCCTACATGGGCTCATAGGCACACTCACATGCAAACACACTAACACCCCAATACACCACCACCAGTTACGTGAGCACGTGCATGTATGTGAGCTTACATGTATTCTCTCTGCTGAAAGGAAATAGTGAAACTTACCATGTGGGATGTCAAGCACAGATGTAGGAATTTAATATTGCTAGGTTTTACCATTTACAACATAACCTGAGAACTGAGTCTTACCCATTTTAGAGGTGGGTCTTTTATGTAGCTTATACTACTCCTCGACCATAACGTTTCTTAGTCTGTGACTTTATTGGACAATTGTGTTCTGATAGGGCTCTCTCTCAAGTTAGCAGAGACTACCAACGTGCTGTTTGGGCATTCCAAAGTCACTAGGAGTGAAAAACACTAGGTTTGTCACCGAATGATTCGCTGGAGTCAGGAGAGTTTCCCTGCCTTTGAGAGGTGCCACATAATTCAAGAGAGCAGGGACTTTTGTGTTCGCCACTGTTTTTCCAGTATTAGCGCACATCTGGCAGATGGCAGCCTCTTGGCACATGTCTTTTGGGAAATGTTTCTCCTAAAAGAATGAGAATTGGATAAACCTGTTCCCCAGTTTTAATGATGAGGTAGAAAGAACTTTCAAGGATGTGGGGGTGAGTCCAGCCTAGGTAGAAATCCAGGCTCTTTCTCTCTTGTGGGAAAGGGACTTATTCTTCCCGAGCTCAAGTTTCTTGTACTTTCAGGAATATGGTAAGAATTAAATGACAATGTTTAAGAAGTGATTACCTAATGTCTTCAGCAAATATATGTTGAATGTTAAATAAATGAACACCTCATGTTTATCCTTTGTTTTCATGATTAAAGCCAAATTTTTAACGAGTTATCCTTAACGTAAATTATCTAAACTTAGGGAATATTTACTAATTTTGGTGAAGTTTTAGATCTGGTAATAGCATTTGTGAGATATATGCAGAATCTTCTGGAATGATGATAATAAAATACAATAGCATCTACTCTTTGTAGACCACTCACCACATAGCTAGTACTGTGCTAAGGTCTTCTTTGTGGTTATTTCATTTCACCTTCACAGCTACCCTGTGAAAAAGATAAACTCATGTCTTTGCTTTATGGATAAGAAAACTGAGAGGCAGGTTGTCACTACACAATTATGCCTTGGAACTGGCAAATCAATGCTCAAATTCAAGTTTGCCTGACAGTAGGTCCCAAGTTCCCAGGCTTCTTATTGCATTTCACAAAAGCCATCATTCTACAATATAACTCATACTAACAGTTCAAATAAGAAATATTCTGAACACAATGAAACCACACACACACTCTTTTTATTTTTATTTATATTTCTTAGTTCAAGAATTACACACTAGCCAACATTATTATATATTTACATGCTGAAACTGGCTGCAATAAGTTTAAATTCAAGAAAATAATTCTTATGTGCTATTCATTTATAATCCTCATTTTTTAACTATCTCATGTATCCCAGAGATTTTAGTAGTCTTGTTTTTAGAAAGACATGAAAATAGATGCAATGATATCCACTGTGTTTTGCATTTTTCTAGCCATTGGAAAATGTGCATTATGTGCATATTAAGAAAGGCTACAAGGTAATTAGTAAGGCTGATAATCACTACATTGTGAAGAAACTAGAATACCACTTTTTTTTTTTTTTTTTATAAAAGGACAATTTAGAACTGTGCAGGGACAATACTCATAACAGAACTATTTAAACACCCATGCAAAATAAATTAAAAATGTTGTGAGATTTAAATTAAACTATAGGCAACTTTGTTTAATTATGTTTAAAATGACCATGGTTGAACTTAAATTATACAACCAAAAAAAAAAAAAAGAAAAAAACAAACTGATGGAACTGTCAACTTGCTTCAAATGGCGCAAGGACACACACGGGCATCAGATTAGAGGATGTGACAGGGCAGTGACATTTGGTTTGGGAACTCAAAGGACATACAGTTTTGTTTTTCATCATTTGAATCGATCTTCACCACAAATAAAACTTATTTAAGCAAATTAAAATTTGATGTCAGAATTTTGAATATATCTACAGAAATATTCTACTTCAACTTCAAAAAACTTAATAGCTTTTTAAGAGTCCTGCTTTTTCTTTCTTTCTTTCTTTCTTTTTTGAATGGATTTCTTTAGGGCAGGATCTTCATTAGCATTCTGTTCACTCCTTTCTGTTTTTTACAATGTTCCTAGTGCATTTGGAAAATACATTTTTTAAACCTTTGGTGTGAAGCAGTGTCCTTTTTTCCCCCATTATCTCATATTTTTTCTTTCTTTTTTTTTGTTTTTCAATAATTCTGGAGTCTTTGGTTGAAACGAACAACACTACCTAAGGACAAAATACTATTATTAAAAAAAAAGTCTTCTAGTATGTATTGTCTGTAACACATTTCTGGAGCTGGTGTGAATAAACTTTTTTATTTTCTGTAGTGCCATCTATACAAACTTCTACTCTTTGAAAACTGAGATTTAAGTTGCAAACTTTGGTTTCTTGAACTCTGACATATAAAAAACTCTATTAAGTAATCAATGATCATTTTTGCTTTTCCCAATTGCCATTTCAAAGGCTATCTCTTGTTTGTTACATTGACTACATAAACAGTAGAGTGTTTCCCATAGACGGGGAGAGAGACAGAGTGCATAAGCAAAAGATTATGTGTGTTTAAGTGTGTGTATGTGACTGTGTGTGACTGTGTGTGTGATAGCAAATTGAAACCCTTCTGTCTGGGATTCCCAAACCATTATGCAAAAGGGTGTTTAAATTACTCTGCTGGGGGCACTGCAGTAACCGTACTTAGTAAAAAATAAATAAAAATTAAGAAAAAAACTAAACAATTGTTTGTATCTATTGACTATTCATTTACAGCATGTTTAATTATTTACATATTATAACACATCAACTTAAGCCATAAACAGAATTAGCACATTGCCTTACCATAAAATACAAATTAGAAGTTAAAAATATTTAAGAAATCTGTTTTAATATTTACACACGCTCAGTGAAAGTTATGGTTGCTCACATTACATGTACTCTGTACATTTAGCCAAATGGCATGATTGCTACAGTTGTGAATACTTAGTATTTTGCCCTAACCAACATGGTGGGGTTTAGTTTTTTTTTCTTCCTCTTTGGAGGAATTTTTATCATTTTTCACTTTCTTAAGACATGTTTGTTTTTGAATCACCAATGGACAATGTTATTTGTTTCCTTGAAAAAGAGAGCAATTGGATAAGCAATGTGACAACTACTTAACTTCTGATGTTCTGGGGTACAGTACTATCGTGGAGTTAAACTGTGCAATGGTTCATAAAAACTGTAGGCATTGATTTGCTGATAGAGAAATGCTTAGTACCCTGTGTTACTTATTTCAGTATGTCGATTTTTGTTTGCCAAATTAAAAATACTCATATACTGGTTTAATGAAGGAAACAAAACATATTAGCTTATTCCTTGTGTTTTCCAACATATGAATGCATATATATGTATGTATGTTTATATGGATCTATATATACACATATATACACGTAGATATGTTGTAAGACCTGTTTTGTTGATGTTGCTTTGCCATTTTTCTTGTTGAGTATGAAGGTAATCATTAAACTGGAACACAGTTACCTATAGAAGATGGAAATTATCTTAGTTGCCAATTTAATGCAGGTCTTGCTTTAAATAAACATGATTCATTTCCCCATTACGCATTCCACTGCTCTTTCTTTATGTGTTGTGCTTTTGTAAGCTGACAGATTTTTTGTGTGTGTTCCTAATGCTAGAATGTAAAGTCTTTTGGTTCATAAACCATTTTTATTATTATTATTTTACTTAGCACTGCTTTTGAAGAAATGAGAAGAGAAAAGGTCTAGATGGCACTGCTTGAATCTTTTCCCCTGTTAATAAATTGCAGTAGAAAGAATTTTAACATTCCTTATGCAAACACATGGTTATGTTGCATGAGTTTTCAATTCTGAAATGCATTTCATACCTACTAGCAGTCATGTACAATATATATATATACAGATTGTGATCAAAGATTTCATGTAGACTGTGCATTTTAGAGTCAGAATTTGTCCATGAATTTCACAAAGATGAAAAAACACCTTAATTGCTGGCTATCTGGCTGTTTATAATTAAAAGAAAATCTATACATATGTATAAACTGATAGTAATCCCGTATCAGAACTACTAAACACACCTTTGTGGTCCTTTAGCTTAACAAGTGGCTACCAAGCTGACTGGTCTTCCTAGATTTATCAGGTCTAGCACCCCTCCTCGCATTTGATGACTGCATTTCAATTCAACGAAACATATATTGAAGAATAAATTCTACATCTACTGTTATTTCTGGAGAGGATGAGTCAGTTGTTTCTATCTCTGTGGTTACTGAGTGCCAATGTACGCTTTTTACTCTAGGGCATTGCTTCTAAGGTCCCATCTTTTTTCCTTTGCCTCATTTCTTGTATCACTGAGAGCAGAAATGAATTTCTGTTTTTATGCTTTTGAGGCTCAAGCTGCAAAGATGCACTTTGATCTGGATTGTTCTGTTGACTTCCTTGAACATCTAAAATTTTGTTGTAATCATAAATGGCAATATCAAAGATTTTTATGGCTTGTATAGTGATTGCACATAAGAGCCCACTTGTACACTTGGGCTCTGAGTTGACTCTAGAAGAGCCTTTTCAGAATGGCATTTTGGAGTTGTGCCCCTGAGTTATCAATATGTTCCTTCCTGATGTTTTTGAGTCAAACTTTACCCCCTGTTGACAAGGGGTAGGCACTTTACTTAGTGTGATGCCCCAAAATGATTGCCTAGGAGAAAGTGTGTCCCTGGAGAAACACTACTCTACTCTGAGCCTATACGAAGAATATTGGTCAGATTCTGCCCAGAGATGATATTCAGAGGTGCTCAAGATTCTGTAATCAAAACATAAGGGCCAAGGTTTCCTACATGGGTGGAAAAAAATACCCTCCCATTTTGGGGCAAATTCAGGAATCTGAAGGATAAAGGTTCGTTGTTGTTCTTGGACAGCTGGAATGCAAGGGCAATAGTACTCCATCATATTCCAAGTTGCTGAGTCATGAAGGAAACAAGAAACCAAGAAAACATACATTATCTACAGGAGGATACTGGCTGCTATGCACAATTAGGGATGCTACTCTAAAAAGAAGAGGTTTCTTTGTTTTAAAAATAGAAATAGCAAAGTCATCCTCCAATAAAAAGTTCAATCAAATTAAACTTTAAGGAAAATTTAGCAATTCAGTATTTTCTATGTGAAAAGCAAAACATGAGCCTCATATTGACAGAAGGAAGACATATTAGCTTATTCCCTTTCTTGTCTAACATATGAATGCGTATGTCCAATTACTGTAGAAAGAAGCACAATGGCATAATTTAAAAATAGAAAAAAAATACATCATGCCTGCCTGATTAACAGTTATATATTCTTCTACAATATCACCTGAGGCTCATTTCATTTATCATGTTTGTGTGGCTTTGCTGTTATTTTCCACTAGTTTTCATAGTTTCCTTGATTAAGCAGATTGCAACATATACAATGAAAGCACTCTTAAGAAAATCAAGCCCAAAACAAATGAACCCACAAATTAACTCTCTGTGTGTTCATACTCTTTGAAATATTATTTGCGCTGAAAAATACAATGGTTAATTTCATTGCACATAAGAAAATATAGTTCACTCAATCTCTCCAAAGCCTTACTTTGCCAGTCTCCTAAGAATATAATCAGAATTTTGGAAGCAAAAAAAAAGAGAAAGAAAGCTGGAGAGGATCATGAATCCTTTAAAGCAATGAACAAATCCTTCTCTTGAAATACCCTATTATATTCAGAAATAAAATTTCAGCGACAAAAATTGCAGGGACAGCCAACTTCGTCTGAGAATAACAATCTGTTTGCTAGTTTGTGCTCTGTATTTGTATATTTGAATGACTCTGAATCTAACCTGAGTATCTAAGACAATTCTCATTTCTCTAACTTTTGTATTTCATGGTTATCTTTGATTAAACTATAAAAACCTCTTTAGGTATGCTGTCAAAAGCTTGTGATGTTGGAAAAACAATCTCTCTTACTCACCCTTTGCCACTAGACACAGTACGTGTAGACCAGATGCTGTGTGGAACTGATAAGGGTCATGCTTGCTTGCTTGCTTGATTTTTGTTACAACCGTCATTTCTGATTTTCTACTCTGCTCTGTGTTGTTAACTCTTACTTTAACCACCTAGGAAATAGCTGTTTAGCAAAAATTTCCTTGGCCACCATGCACGATAATGTTCAGAAGTCTCCTCATGCCTCCTAAATGCCAAAATGAAAGACATCATAGTTGATCCTCTGTGCTCAAGCTAAGAGACTGGCCAAATCAGTTTCCTGAGTCTCTGTCTTGATTCCCCTAGCCTGCTCCAATCACAAGAGAATCTTTTAGAAACCAGTGGGAATAACCTTCCCATGACACCATTATCATCTTAGTAAGAAAAGCATAGATCATCTTCAAGTAATGTGTTTGCATGGCATTACAGATAATGTTTCATAAGCACAATGCCATCTCAACAGCATGCCAACCTTAAAAAGGAAGATGAGGAGTATCTGGTTATGACCAAATGACTGACAATGCTATTGAGTCTTCTAAGAATATCTTCCAAATTATTCCCCTCTGAGTAGGCTGCATACTAAACAGACAACATGGAGCACTCAGGCTGTCTTGCCACCATGTGTACAAATCACTTGCGTTTTAACTGGAAAACCACAAGGACCTTAGTGTATTCGTTACTTAGCAGAAGCAACCCAAATGGTATGAAATGGACCACAGGATAGGCCAGCAACTAAGGTATTTTAGCATCACTTTTGTCCTGGATTGATGTGTTTTCCAAGTCCTACATCAGGCTGTACAACTGGTTTGAGGAGGAATCTAGTCCTTGCTTCCAGTGGGAGGCCATGTTTTAGTTCACATAATAAAGCCAATAGACGATGTTGAAGAAGGAAAAAACCACTGGGAAGAATATGCGGGACCACCGATCTATGGCATTGACATCAGTCAAGTCAGGGATGGTGATTTTCAGTTGGGAGGCGCGTCTCCTCAGGCGACTTTTCTTTTGTGCCACATGTCGTTCCAGAGCATTTCGGCCAAAACTATGTCTGGGCAACCCGGCTTTCCGGTACTGGATGCTGGAGGCATCATAGGCTAGCATTGTGCTTCTGGGGTCTCCAAGTCCCATCACAGCCTCAGATGTGGCCATTTCATTTTTTATCTCGAGAGTGCTCAGTAAGATGTTCTCATGGGGGTCCATCTGCAAGGGAGAAGAATCCAAAAGACAATCAGAACAAAGAAGCTTTACAGGTGCTTACTAGGCAAGGCACTATGATCGGCGCTTAAGGGATTTATAATAGTGGTAAAGAGAGCTTCCTTTGCGATTACATTACCAGAGTCTGAATTGAGACTCTACCACTAAAGCTATTTGAGGTTCAGTTTCTCCATTTATTAAATGATATAATAATCCAACCCTAGAGGATTGCTGTAATGATGTAATTATATAACAGACTGTTGCTAGTATCATTTTCATTAGTTCTTCTTAGGGTGTGCAGAGAAATCGAAGACATGGCACCTTTTGAAGAATTTGTAGTCTTGATATGAACACATACAAATTAAACTGTGCTAGGCATGCAACAGTGTTAGGAAACTAATTACTGAATTGTGCTCACAAAAGTAGCCTAATTATAGATGAATTAATAATAAAACTAGAACTAAAAATAGTGGGTAACTATCAAGTACTTGCCATTTATGTCAGGCATTTTTTGGGGTACAATTTCATCTAATTGATGTTTCTTAAAACTCCCCGTTATGAGATATCACCTTAAATTTGTGATGTCCATATAAACAGGGTAAAGAAATAGTGCTGAAGAATACAAATGCAGGAGGACCTATGTGACTCATCAAAGTAACCACAGTATTCAGAATAAGAAGGAATTCAAAAATAGGAGCACAACAGCCAGATCCACCGTTGGTGGGGAGGACTGAGAAGAGGAAAGGGAAGAGGATAGGATTAGAGAGGAAGCAACAAGCCTGCAGCTGACTGTGCTCAAATGAATTCTGGGCCTCAGGAGTACAATTAGTTGGCTATGCAGATAGTCAATTCATCTCACTTGGATAATTTCTTCTTGCAAAGCTAGAAGCAAAGGATAAATAGATATCATGATTTCCAAACATTAAATTATTACATAACGTTCTTTCTTGTGTTAAGAAGGGAAGATTTGTATGCCTTATTTTTAAGAGGCCTCAAATGCTACAGATAATAAAACCTAGACGGAACAAGTTTTTATTAACAAGAGAGTATATTTATTTTGGTGGATAATCAAGATATACCAATTACCAGTAAAGTTTCTGAAATTATAAGGAAAAAAATGGCCAGTGATAGGCTCTGATGATATATGGAAACAAGGCATATAACCAAACACTTAATTGGAAGATACAATGCTCTAAGCTTCATGAATTATGCAGAAGGTAAAAAAGAATGTTGCTAAGATTATATATTAACAATTAACTTTCAACTGTGGTTTAACGGCCATGTATTATAAATTCAACTCTAAAATCTTTTGAGAAATAAAAGCTATAAAATATGCTGGAACATAATAATTGACCAATTAATCTCTGCCTACTGATCAGACATTCTGCATGTTTACTTTATGGTATCATTTTGCTTAGAGGAAATACTAAACAAGTATATTATTAAAATGAATTGTAAAAGTTTATATGATTTGGAAACAAAGATGAATAAATGTTATAAAAGATCTGCTAAGGAAGGGTCAGGTAATGGCTTTAATGAGGACTTCCTTGACCTACAGAAGGAAGCAACATTTAAAGGTTTCTGTTAAGTACCAGTGCTTTGCAGCAACTGATTCACTGAATGCTCACAACATACCTTGGAAACGGCATTTTTTCCCAGAGGTTATAGGTGACAGCCTTCACCAAATTTCTCAAAGCCACATAGTTACTAAATGGTGGAGCTGGAATTGAAATGTTGACCATTACAGTCCAAATGCTTGGAGTGGGGAGTCCTTTCCAACACTTAAGGAAAGTAAACCTGATGGAAATGGGACACCCATCCTTCACTGTTATTTCAACAGTATGCTTGTTTTCTCTTCTTCTCTGGGTTGTCAACTGTTCCTTTAGTGACTTGGAAAATAACTTAATTTGCACAATTTCTTTGGCCACTATGCATGATGTTCAGAAATTTCCCTTCTTTAACCACTGGGATATTTGCTTCTCTGTTGAGCAATTATAATAAGGAGAGTTACGAGTTGACACCAGACCTGGCTGAGTTCAAACTATAAAATAGCAATAACGATCATAATAAAAACTATTGGCAGCTATGGATTACTATTAAGGGAAACTTGCTGAAAGCTTAAAACCAATTATTTTTGAGTTATTTATTTAATCTCAGTGGGTTTCTGTTTCACTATCCAAATTTAAGAGTTGAATTAGGTAATCCATAAAGTTCTATTAGTTACGTATTTTTTTAATTCATGAATTTTTAAAAAATTGATTGAACATCCAATATGTGTTTGGTCCTATGCCAACTATCACAGATACAGTGGTGAGAAAGACGGAATTGCTGCTGCATCCTAGTGCGAATAAGTCTCCAAAAAGAATACTGGGGTTGGAGTCAGAGTCAAAAGACCGTAGTTGTGACTCTTCTATTTGTTATATTTGACCTGGAAAAAAATTACCTAATCCTTTGAATCTAGTTTCTTCCGTGGACTAAGAATAGGATTCGGGAAGACTAACTGAAATAATATATGTGAAGAAAAACTTGGAAAAACTAAAGCACCAGGCAAAGTTGATTATTATGACAAGCCATAGATGAAGTTTATTTACTTACTGGTTCCACTGACATGGCAAAAAAACCACAAATAATTATACCTAAAAGAAAATTAAGTATGTTTGCTCTTGTGGTGTATATGTATGAGTGATGAACTTTCTGTAGGTAAAAATCATCTCAGACTTACTGGAGATCTTAACAGACTGAAGTGGGAGGGTGGTGGGGTAGGGAAGGTGGAGTGTATTAAACACCTGTATCAATTTATGAAGTGCAGCTACTCCTTAGTGTCTTTCATATCATTAGAACACTTCAACTTAAAATAGACTGCTTATTTTAATTTTTATTATTATACATTAAGTTCTGGGATACATATGCAGAATGTGCACGTTTGTTACATAGGTATACATGTGCCATGGTGGTTTGCTGTACCCATCAACCCATCATCTACATTAGGTATTTCTCCTAATGCTATCCCTCCCCTACTCCCCAACCCCCGACAGGCCTTGGTGTGTGATGTTCCCTTCCCTATGTTCTCATTGTTCAACTCCCACTTACGAGTGAGAACATGCAGTGTTTGGTTTTCTATTCCTATGTTAGTTTGCTGAGATGAAGGTTTCCAGCTTCATCCATGTCATTGCAAGGGACATGACGAACTCATCCTTTTTTATGGCTGTATAGTATTCCATGGTATATATGTGTCACATTTTCTTTATCAAGTCTATCATTGATTGGCATTTGGGTTGGTTCCAATTCTTTGCTATTGTGAATAGTGCAGCAATAAACATACGCGTGCATGTGTCTTTATAGTAGAATGATTTATATTTTTTGGGCATATGCCCGGTAATGGGATTGTTGGGTCAAATGGTATTCCTGGCTGTAGATCCTTGAAGAATCATCACACTGTCTTCCACAGTGGTTGAACTAATTTACACTCTCACCAACAGTGTAAAAGTGTTCCTATTTCTCTGCATCCTCTCCAGCATCTGTTGTTTCCTGACTTTTTAATGATTGCCATTCTAACCGGCATGAGATGGTGTCTCATTGTGGTTTTGATTCACATTTCTCTAATGACCAGTGATGATGAGCTTTTTTCATGTTTGTTGGCTGCATAAATGTCTTCTTTTGAGAAGTGTCTGTTCATATCCTTTATCCACCTTTTGATGGAGTTGTTTTTTTCCTGTAAATTTAAGTTCCTTATAGATTCTGGATATTAGCCATTTGTCAGATGAATAGATTACCAACATTTTCTCCCATTCTGTAGGTTGCCTGTTCACTCTGATGAAAGTTTCTTTTGCTGTGCAGAAGCTCTTTCATTTAATTAGATCCCATTTGTCGATTTTGGTTTTTGTTGCCATTGCTTTTGGTGTTTTAGTCATGAAGTCTCTGCCCGTGCCTATATCATTTACTTTATTTCTGTCTTCCCCACCATACTATACTTCTTGATGAAGAGAGACACAAAATCTGCCTCACTTATTATTGTATCCCCAAACATCTGGCATGGCACCTGGCACATAGCAGATGCTCAATAAGTAAATATTGATTAATGGAATTAATTTTGTGAACTCTCAGTAACTCACTCACCTCTTTGTGAGTCATCAGTAAGATGGGTTTAACTTTGCAACACCAGCCTAAAGACTGGAACTTCTGGGACCACCTCTTGAGTTCCTTCCCTGCTCTAAGGCTTCTGCGTTTATTTATACAGGTCTCTTGCTACAGCAGCATGCTCAGGTACCTGAGATCTGTAAACTGTATTTCCCACAGTGCTACTTCCATATCGTATGCTCTTTTCTAACCCTAGAGAAGGGAACTTGGTGAGTACAACTAGAAGCCATAACTAACCATTCTACATATTGACCACTTTCAGTTATCCCAGTATCTCTGTGGGGCAGGCACTGATCTCGTGTGTGGAATATAAGACACAGAGAGGTTAAGAAACTTAGTACAAGTTTGCTTACTGAATAGGTGGCACAGCAAGAAGGAGAATCGGCTATTTTTACACTTTTTCATGCTGAGGCATAGCAGGTGCCCAGATAATCCCTGTAGCATTCCATAGCTCATAAAATAAGGCATTCTCAGTGCATGGTAGGGGCAGTCAACTGGAGGGGCATGGCATGCTTACAAAAATTTCCTTAATGAGGGATGGATAAGAGTGTCTAGAGTTAAATATGTCACTAAATTTCAGAGTCCTGCTAACTGCAGCACTTGCAAGTAAAGAGAATAGACATCTGTGCTTTGCCTGTTCATCAAGCACCAGGCACTCCCCTTTCCGTCTGGGAAACCACCACTTCCCCTTTCTCAGTTTCTGGGTGTCTGCTGTGGGTGTAGGCCAATCAGAGCCATTCTGACACCATAATTGGCTCAGTGGTGGGCACATGACCTTTTCTGAGCCAATGGCATGCCGTGAGCCTTCAGCTGGGAATAGCAGAGTAAAAACTCTCAAATATTCCCCCTGGATCTGCACCTAGAAGTGA